GATCCCAGTTCTACAGGGACCATGCAGAGGATACAGAGTGACAAGAATCTCCTGGACCAACCTGACTCACCTCTAGAGGTGAGTTTTAACTTTAGTGTCACTGGTTTTGCTCTGTATTTGATTATTGTTGTCTGTGTGCTTTTGTGTGTTTCAGCACTAAGTACAGCATTATGTCCATGTTGGGATAAAACGCTGAAAATGAATCAATAGTTATCTGTTTAACAGTGCTTCCTTATTAATCGCTGGTGGGTGTTTTGTTTAAGTTTGTTGTTGTTGTTCTTGTTGATGATGATGGTGGTGTTGGTATTTTTGCTGCTGTTGTTCTTGTTTAAGGAAGGTAACCAATGCTGTTTTTATACTTGATAATAAACTATTTTATTTTATTTTTCACATCAGTAAAGGATCAACTTCCAAATAGAGATGTTGACCTTTGATGGTGCTCATTAGGTATTGTAGTTTAAAATAAACCTTTGCTTTATTTCAGCTTTGAATGAATTATTGAATACTGTTAGTAAATATTCTTAGTGGTCATTGTTACTTAATGTTAACATAGTTCTTTAGTAAATGCTTTTTTTTTCAATATGGTGTGAATTTGCTTCAGTTAACACGTGTAACACTTTCAGACTCAATATACGGATTTTAGAAGACCTGATTGACAAAACTATCAAATATATATATTTTTTCAATTCATTATCATTTAAGTCTTTCAAATATTATTTTACTTTTCAACAACCTTGTTGAAGAAATATGTTTAAACATTTTTTTTTTTTTTCCATTCGATATATAAAAAAAAATGATGGTTTGGTGATTCTGTGACTGGTGAACAGTCAGCATTACACAAACACAATAATTTGACTGTGTATTCTAAAATTCATTAAATGTCATTAAAATGTTAAAGGGTTAGTGATAGGTTTTGACATTTACACTTAAAATCTACCAACAAAGTTAATTATTTACTAAACGATTGCCAAGTTTTTGTCAGGTGACTAATGAACAAGCTGTTGTGCTGCTCTGGTGGTTGTGTGTCAAACAGCAACACAGTTGTTGTCATGTGGAGGCTCACAGGAGCCAAACAACACATTTCTGCCTCTGGGTTCCCCAGAGGTTCATCCAGCTGTGGCTGGGCCACAGCTCATCATGCCTGCGACATGTCAGTATTTTTACTGACAGTACCGTGGGATCATCTTAAGCCACTTCATGTTTCTTTACATTTTTTTCTTTCAAAGGCAGATTGTATTCTGTTCATCTACAGTACAGCTCTTTAGTTTTTCTGAAGGTGTTTCAAAGTTTTTCTTGGTATGAAAGCTATAATGTGTCCTTAAAATTACTCAGGAAACTAGACGAGGACAGACCAAGTGGCAGGCTTCAAAAACCCGCAGAGCAAATGTCACTGAAGCAGATTTATTACAGACTTGTTCAGGTTTCCAGTCTTTACATCTATGATGACGCTACAGTAAACAGCTTTACAACCGTCAAACAAAAAGCTAAAACAGGAGAAAAAACATCTAATTAAGCTCCGTCCATCCGGCCAGCTAGCTTACCCGCTTCTTTCTTTTTGAATTGCGGGGGTCACTGGTGTCCACATCCAGCACTCACTGTGTGAGTGAGGAGGACATCCTGGACAGGTCTCCAGTCCATCACAGGGACACATGGGGACAATTTAGAGTTACCAATCAGCCTAACATGCATGTTTTTGATCTGTGGGAGGAAACCAGAGTACCTGGAGAAAACCCACACATGCACGGACAGAACATGCAAACTGCACCCAGAAAGACCCCCGGCCATGATTTGAACCGGCAACCTTCTCGCTGAGAGGCAACAGCTCTACCAACTGAGCCACCGTGTTATGTAACTCTGTAGTTTTTTAGATAGCACGTGTGTGTTGTGCGCCACTAGCTTAGCACTCCATCAGTGTAGGCATTGTCAACGGGATGCGGGGCAGTTCGGTAGGCAGGGCGCTCAGTGCTGTTGACAGGGCGGGCACCCTGCTTGTGTAATGGTAGGGGAAACACTGCAGAGACTCTGTGTTGAAGCTATTTTTTTTTTTTTGCAATTTCTTGTAAAGTTGAGTTGCCAAGTAATCTCCAACGTCACTGCCCAGTGAAACCACCATTATGACTTAAACATGCAGTGTGATTAGAGTAAGCAGTTTTTATTTTTTATTTTTTTATAATTCAAGAGTGTGGGTGTGTTTGGGGGATGTCAAGTCAACTTTATTTTTACAGCTCACTTAAAACAGAAGCTGAACATAAAGTGTGTGCTGTGTGTGTGTGTGATTGTGTGTTGTGTGTGTGTGTGTGTGTGTGGGGGGGGGGGGGGGGTATGGATTGAAACGATATCAGCTTTATTTTTTTAAGATTTCTTGTTGTTGTTCTTTAAGAAAAAAATATATGTTGTTAGCTCAAAATCAAAATATTTATATTGATAAAAATATATATGTTCATGTTTTTGACTCTGAGGGACGCTGTTGGTTAAGGAACAAAAAAAAAGAATCAGTTGTTTCGTCATTCAGTCCTCCTGCCTGTCTGCACAGGAGGAGGCTCGTTGTGTTTTATTCAGGGTGGTGTCAACACAGACGCACAGATTTATGTCTCAAGCAGTGAGACATTTTCACCTTTAACCAGGGAACGTACATTTACAACGTTTTACCTCTCCGTGCATGAACATCATTTACCGGTAATTTTTTTTTTTTTTTTTAATGGCGACATCATTACCGATCACCTCCGCGTCTTCAAGATGGCGATTATTTTCTGGACTGCTTG